TTTGCGCTTTTGTGTCACTTGTATGCATCGTTTGCACCTTTGTGTCACTATTTATCTTATTTGTGACAATTGGAAACGTCCGCTTTTGGCACTCTTGTGCCACTTGTACGCACCTCTTTGCACTTTTGTGTCACTTTTTTGCACTTCAGCGCACTTCAAATCTTATTGGTGGTGAAATCTGAGGGCACATCAGCTTTTACTTTATATTTGCGTCAAAAAACGTGCGCAAATAAGATAAAAACTGATGTCAAACTGATTTGAGCTGATTTGGAACTAAAAACACCTAGGTGCCACCATCGTGACACCAAGACAGCCCTGCTGGGTGGCTCAGTGGCGCCTCTGGTCTCAAGAGGCGCTTTAAAAAAATCCGCGCTCCGCGCGGAAGAGGCATAGTAATGATTAAAGTATGAGTCAAAATAGAAAATAAACACTTGCGATGGAGTTGTTTTTGTTCGGCGCGCTTCGCGCGCAAGAGTAATGCATATTTTTGTTATGGTGAAACAATAACGTGTATGATGATGGTACTTGGTTTGAACTGTGAACAGTGCGCTTTGGTTTGGTGCCTGAATATGAATGTGACCCAAGGCAAGGCTCTTGTGAGAATGAGGAAGTGGGTTTGCTCGTTGGGAACTCAATCTGTTTCGGGCGATCGTCAAACTTTTCCTGACCAAGCCAGTAGCGCGACCTTTTGGTGCAAAAAACAACCTCAATTCTGGCGCCAAAAGATCGCGCCCTACACCCCCCATATGAAGCCTCGCGACTCTCATATTTGAGGTTTGGTTAGTGACTCAGGGCGATGTTGACCTTGGACTTGCTCAAAAGAAGCGTGGGATGTTTTAAAGAAAGCACTCTTCTCAAGGGTTTCAAACCCCGCAACGAAGTAGGAAGTTCGAAGTCGTCAACGTTGGCAAATTACTTTGATTAGTAGTAACGTGTCGTTTTTTCTGCTGAACAGAAGTCACAAAAGAGCGTCTGCATGGCGCTGTGCTGCTGGAAGACCCGCGCAGAGATAGCGCATGAATCCCAATTTGACTTTGTTGCGTACTTTGCAGGCCTTTGCAGGCAAGGGCAGCCTTAGCCGGGAACGCATGAAAAATGTGTGGTCTGGGATGGTGCACAGCGAGGAACATCATGATTTGACAAAGCCTTCTGGACTGCAGTTGGCCTTGGAGTGCATATTCAGCTGCAAGAACCTTACTTGCACAGTGCTCTTCAGCGAAAACTTGACTAGCTTCAAAAACCTTACTTGTCACAATCCCTGCCGGCACAGTGCTCTTCAGCCAAAACTTGACTATTTCC